TGTTGTTTCTTTTTTTTTTTTTTTTTTAAACTAGGGCTGAGAACCGAACCCACGGCCTTGCGCGCCCCAGGCGGGCGCGCTTCCGCTGGGCTAAACCCCCAGCCCCTAGTGTTGTTTCTTATTAGAAATTTAAAAAAAAAATTTCTTCCTTACTTCAAAAAGGATCTTTAGCCAGGTGCCCATGGCTCACACCTGTAATCCTAGCTACACAGGAGGTTGAGACCTGAGGATTGCAGTTCAAAGCTAGACCAATTAGGAAAGTCTGTGAGACTCTTATCTTCAGTTAACCACCAAAAAGCCAGAAGTGGAGCTGTGGCCCAAGTGGTAGAGCACTACCTTGAGCCAAAAAAGAAGTTCAGAGACAGCACTCAAGCCCCAGGACTAGCACAAAAAAAGGGGAGGGGGGTAGTCCTTGTGGGATATGCCTACATACCTATAATCCCAGAATTTCAGAGGCTGGAGGAGGAACATCTTGGCTACATAGTAAGACCCTATCTCAAAAAACAAACAAGAGAGAGTCAGATTGCTGTTTCTCCACATATGTTGCAACCAGCTATGAACAGTACTGAGGGAAGCTTTGTTGTTGTTGTTGTTGTTTTATCTGACCCAGTGTCCTACTGGCCACTTCTCTGGGCTCACTTTGTAGATATAATTTTTTTTCTGGATTTCCTGATTGTTTAACTTACTGTCTGCAATGGGTTCTCCTCTCCTCCCCCTCCCCCGCCCCACCCCAGGCTCATGCAGAGTCAAGTAAAGCCTGGCTGACAGAGAAATTCGCTGAGCTCAGATTACTACTTGATGAAGAGCAAGTGCAAGCCAAAGAGTTCATTGATGAGAGCAAGGAGCTGGCTCTCCAGGCATACCAGGAGCAGGTGGGGTCTCTCAGGAAACAAATCGAAGTTCTGGATGATCTCCACATCCGGGTCTGGAGTATCAGCCAGGAGCCCAACCCTGTCCAGCTGCTGCAGGTAACAACAGGGCTGCTGCTCTTAGTGTTGCCACTTGATACCTACATTCCACCTCAGTTATTCAGGAGCTGGGCAGTGTTTACACACCCAAAAAACCCACATAGACTTCCTCATCACCACATAGAAGGCCAGAGAGTAAATGTCATTAGGAAGATGATAGACATCTTCGGCTGGTTAAATAGTAACAGCGACTATTCTGCATGGCCTTTGTAGTGCAAACACTTATGGATCTTAGCACCAATGTTTGCTTGTAGATCTTCTCACTCCATGTTGTAAATGCAAATGAGAAGTTGGGTGATTTTCCTAGACTGGTAGGTGGCAGAGAGGGCATCGGATCACAGGTCTGTCAAACACTAAACCCATGAGGTTTCGAGTTGCCTGGCCTTCTGCTTGAAAAGCCATATCTAGGGCATCCTTCCTACGGAGTCCTGGCCTCCAGCAGTTCAGGCTTGGCATCGCTTTCCTTTTTCTCATTGTCAAGGCTACTGGTTTTAATGATCATTTATTTCTTTTATTTGTTTGTGCCTGTAGCCATCAAATTCTTCCCTAGCTAGATGTCCTGATACACATGGGGACCTCATGTAGCATTCCCACAAACGCAGAGAATTTATCTACAATATAGCTCAAACAAGCTCACTAGCCAGTGCCAGTGGCTCATGCCTGTCATCCTAGCTGAGATTTAAGGATCATGGTACAAAGCCAGCCAGGGCAGGAAAGTCTGTGAGATGCTTAGCTCCAATTAGCCACCAAAAAGTCAGAAGTGGAGCTGTGTATGGCTCAAGTAGTAGAGCACAAGCCTGGAATGGAAAAGGGTAAGGAAGGGATAGTGCTCAGGCCCTGAGTTCAACACACACACACACACACACACACACACACACCCCAAACTAAAGTATGCCCAAGGTTTGCTTCCACCTACAAATGCAGCCCCCAGAGCCTTGCCGACCCTGCGCTCACTACCCCCACCAGGTGTACATGGCCACCAAGCCGGAGATGCAAAGACAGAGGGGCCTTGCAGAGCTGAGCCACCCTGTGCCCTACTCCTTTGAGCCAGTCAAAAGCTTCTTCAAGGACCTTGTGGGAGCCATGCAGAGGACCCTACAGAAGCCACTGGACATTCGTCTGAAGAAAAGTGAGTCAGCATGTGACAATGGGGACTTAACACCCTGTGGAGCCCCGTACCCCAGAGACAGCTAGGAAGGTCTCCCCCCTGAATGATAGCTCTCCCACCCAAATATCCATGGCTGGGCAGCCAGGGCTCCTGGGTGTGGTATCCAACCCACCCTTAATGCCTTCTATGACGTCGCCTCCTCTCCCTGAGAGGTCTCCTGCCTGCCTGGCTGGACAGGCCAGCCATGGGGCACTTGAGCCTAGCCAGCTCTTGCTCCTCCTCTGCCTCTGCCTGGGGTCAGCCAGTCATCACCTTTGCTAGGCAGTTGGGGGCACCATTGTGCTCTCTGGGAGCCTTTCTGGTCCCAGGCTCCCTTACTTCCTCCATGGCCATCTCTCCTCTGCCTTCGCCCTGCAAGGTTCGCCCCATGACCTGCCTGGGCACACAGACCCCTGTTCAATTCGCATTCCATGGCAGGCAGGGAGACTTTGGGGGCCAAATCTGAGGTACATGTAGAGTCTGACACAAAGCAAGTGCTCCAAAATCTGTCCCAAGAGTCCTTTTATTCCCCTCTGCTATGAGACACAGCAAACTTGTGTCCATAGTAAGAACCACAATGAAGTAAAGTAGAACAGCAAGAAGCCATTTCACGCAGCAGTTGGGAAGCCCCTGGAAAGGGGGCACCTATAACTAAATAGCTAAAAAAAGGTCTGGGGGTGCAGCTTGAGTGGTAGAGCATCTGAAAGCATGCAGCCCTGAATTCAAAACCCCAGGGTGAGCTGGGGCAGGGCTTTCTAGACCGCAGACCCAAGGACAGGAGAGCATGTGGTCACATGCAGGGCTCTGGGGAGCCCCTGTCACCTTGAGAATAATGCCCAGCTTGCCCACACCTGAACAATGATGTTGTCTTCAGAGGTTGTGGTGAGGAGTGAGGTTTTTGTTTGTTTTGTCAGCCATGAGACTTGAACTCAGGCGCTTGAACTCAGACACTGTCCCTGAGCTCTTTCACTCAAGGCTAGTAGCTCTACCACTTTGAGACACAGTGTTACTTCTGGGTTTTTGGTGGTTAGTTGGAGACAAGAGTCTCATGGAGGGCTGGGATGTAGCTCAGTGGCAAAGCGCTTGCCTAGCAAGCGCAACGTCCTGGGTTCGATCCCCAGTACCAAAAAAGAAAAGACAAAAAAAATACAGTTAAAAAAAAAAAAAGAGTCTCATGGACTTTCCCGCCCCAGATGCCTGTTCTTGAACCATGATGCTCAGATCTCAGCCTCCTGAGTAGACAGGCCAGAGCCACCCTTGCCTAGCAAGTGAGTTTTTCAGTATACAGGAATATACAGGCACAGCACAGACACAGCACAATGTAAATGTTTGCAGTTTTCATTCTTGTCACCTCTGGGAAATGTTCTTCAGGCTGAGGGGAAAGTGAGTGCTGAGGTCCTGAGGCACAGCGGGAGTAAACATGCCCTGCTGAAGGATAGGCTAAGGTGTCATCTGGGAGGAGGCTTGGGCCTGAGCTACTAACTGGTAGAAGGAAGGGATCATTTTATGTGATGGGAAGAAGCACCTGTTAGTTTTTTTCCTGTCACTGTAACAAATACCTGAGAAAAACAATTTAAAAGTAGGAAAGATTTATTTTTTTGTTGGTCATGGGCTCTTCTCTAGTTCAAGCGTCTCCTCCTTTAACTTTGCACGTGTTTCTTAGGGTGAGGCCATATGAATTTCGAGCTTTGCCATATTCTTAGTATGTTTTATTTCTGCTGCTTGTATAAACTCTTGCATTTACTTCTCACCACTCAAATTCATTACAGACATAAACAGCCAGCTCTCCAGCTCCTCCAGCACCAAGCCAGGCACCTTGTTGAAAATCAGCCCTTCACCAGAGAGATCGCTCTTCTTAAAATGTAAGCCCAGGGTGGAGAGAGGGTGGATAGGGTGGGAAGCAGAGGTGAGGAGAGCCCTGGAGAAGGCAGCTCTACACCATTACTTTTTTATGTTACGACAACCAAATTATTTTTTATTATTATAAAGGCAACATACAGAGAGGTAACCAAATTATTTTTAAACAAGTGTTGTTTTTAAAAAAGAAAGCTTTGCCAGGTGCCAGTGGCTCACACCTGTAATCCTAGCTGCTTATGAGGCTGAGATATGAGGATCGCAGTTCAAAGCCAGCCCAGGCAGGAAAGTCCATGAGACTCTTATTTCCAAATTAACCACTAGAAAACCAAAAGCGATGCTGTGGTAGAGCGCTAGCCTTGAGCTGAAGAGCTCAGAGACAGTGCCCAGGCCCAGAGTTCAAGCCCCATGACCAACCTAAAAAAAGAAAAGAAAATTTTGCTAGGCACCAGTGACTCAGGCCTGTAATCCTAGCTACTCAGAAGGCTGACATCTGAGGATTGCAGTTCAAAGCCTGTGCAAGAAAGTCTGTAAGACTCTTATCTCTAATTAACTCCCAGAAAACTGGAAGTGGTGCTTTGATCAAAGTGGTAGAGTGCTATCCTTGAGCAAAAAAAGCTCAAGGACAGCGCCCAGGCTCTGAGTTCAAGCCCCATGACTGACAAAAACAGAACGCTTTTGCTGGGCATAGTGGTACATCCCTTTAACCCCAGTATTAAGGAGGCAGAAGAAAGAGAATCATGGTCAGTTGGGCTACACCAAGACAAAAGAAAACCAATAACTTTTATTACTAGTCTTTTATTTCTTTTGTTGTTGTTGGTGGTGGTGGTGGTTGTGGGGCCTGAACTCTGGGCCTGGGCGCTGTCCCT